GTTTCCTCGTCGCCGCTCCCGGTCCGTGATCCTATGTGGCCGGTGCGGCTGTGACCGGCACGGCGACGCTCTAACAGCAGATCAAAGGGAGATCATTACTCGATTTCCCTTTGATCTCTCTTCCTGTCCCCGAATGCAGGAAGTGATGTATATTACATCACGTCCTGCATTCAGTGTCACTCTCCGATGCAGAACACCGGAGAGAAGCTGATGAAGCAGATCTCTGCTTCATCAGCTTCTGTGGGGGTCCCTAGGTGACATCAGAGGTCTTGGAGACCCCTGATGTCTCCATAAAGAGGACCTGTTTGGTGAACTGGCTATTACATAGGGGATTTCTTAATCCCCTATGTTATTGCAATAAAGTTGTCTAAAAAAAAAAAAATTACAGCATTAAAAAAAATAAAGAAGCTAAAAAAAATATTCACAAATAATAATTAAAAAAAAAAATGTTTTAAAGTCCCCCGCCCCCCCACATACACATGCAAAACATGCGTCGGGTGCGCTATGTACGAAAACGACGATTGCGCCCATTATGCAGCACATGTTACATATCGCCGCGAACGTCGGAGTGAGAGCAATAATTTTAGGGCCATCAATCACTGATAACACTAAACTGATGAGCGGTAAAAACGTTTAAAGTGTCGCCTATGGCCAATTTTGGTTGCGGACGTTTTCTGCGATTTCGTGGGCGCGCGCAATTTTAAAGGTTGACATGTTTAGTGTCTATTTACCCAACGTGACCCCGTCTTTTATATTATACCAAATTGGGGTGAAAATAAATGTTTCATAACATTTTATAGTAAAACATGTTTTTTTTCAAAATTTAGGGTACTTTTTTGGTTATATAGTAAAAAATAAAAACCCCAGCGGTGATTAAATACCACCAAAAGAAAGCTCTATCTGTCCCCAAAAAATGGTATGAAATTCGTATCAGTACAGCATTGCATGACGGAATAAACGTCAGTCAAAGTACCACAGTGCTGAACACTGAAAAATGGTGTCTTTCCTATTGTTTTACATTTTGAAAAAAAAATTCAACCTTTTTTTTATTTATTTAGCTGTTTTGCTATTCTGCTGGGTACCCCAGAGATGGCCCGTCGGCAGGCATCAATTAGATGACCCCGCACGCGCGTGGTGGTGAAGTCACTGCAGGGTGTCACCCGGTCTCCACCCCGGGTGATACCCGGCCTCGGGACGCCCCTGGGCATAGCAAGCGTTTTTTTGCATTGCTGTTCCACAGACCAGCACTTTAGCCAGATAATTCTCTGTGGGTTCACTGACAGGAGACTAATTTGGCAGATGAGACACATAATGCCAGCTTAGCCACCCACTAGGTAATGTAAAGCTGAAGGCAAAAGCTCTAAGCACTCCATAACTAAATGATCAGTTATGACTGTAGCTTGGTTATTAGCCATGAGCTGAGTTCATTCACATGAGGTCTGACAGACTGACATGGCTACTATGGCTTTGTATCACTCAAACTAATGTGTGTAACCCCTTTATGACTGAAGCCTTTTTTTTTTTTCATTTTTTGCACCCATGTTAATCCACATTTTAGGCCTGAAAATTACTTCAAACCCCGAAAAATATCATATTTTCTGAAAGCCAAGACCCTTTAGAATAGAATGGGGGCAGCTGCAAATTTTTATGTGGCATTATATTAGCGCAAACATTTAATGAAAAATGCAGTTAACTTGAATTTAAAGCCCTAAAACAAAATACCTATTTTTTAATACAATATAAAATATGAGTTTACAACGAGTAAATAGATACCCAACATGCTTAGGTTAAAAAATTGTGTGTGTCTGTGAAACGGCGACAAAATTCAGTACCCCAAAAAGTCCAAAGACGACACTTTAAAAGCCCCTACAGGTCATCAGTTTTGAGATACACATGAACATTGGACCTAGAATTATTGCTCTCACTCTGGCATGCGTGGAGATACCCAACATGTATATCACGATTGTCATTTTCATATGTAGGCACACCCAACGCGTGTTTACGTTATGACGCGCGTATTCACAGGGGGGGGAATTTAAAAATGTTTTACATTATTTTTACATTTCTTTTATTTGATACTATTTAAAAAAACTGTTATTTTTTTAAAATTTTACTTTAATTGCTATCACATGAGGGGAGGCTTACAAGCCCCCCATGTGATAGCAGATTGGTGATGACAGGTTCTCTTAAAAGGAGAACTATGGGGTTAAGGCTTTTCCCCATAGTTCTCCTTAGGGTAACGGGAGGACACAAAACTAGTGTCCTTTCCATCACCCTAGGCTCAGTATGCTCAGTAGCTGCTGCTCGCGGTATACTGAGACGCCGCACCTGAAGCGGATCCCGACAATTATGTCTGGATCCGCCCAGCTGCGTGCCTGACAGCTGGCTCTGCCTATCTAGAGGCAGAGGCAGAGCCAGCTGTACCCGCCCCCTCCCCCGTCCGTTCCGCCAGTGAGCGCTGGCGGATCGGAGCGGGGAGGGGGGAATCCAGCCCCTCCCCTGTCACGGCAGATAGCTCACCTCCTGATCTACTAAGCCGACCTGTGACAGTCTCAGTGTCACAGGTTGGCTAGAACTATGAGGTGAGTGAAAAGCACTCACCTCATAGTTCTGCTTTAAGGTGACGTCGATGACATTACTTAATTCCTAACCTCCTGGTGAGTCTCTACATTGCCACATTGTTTGCTACACTTTGCTCGAGGTTCACTTTGTATTATTTTCTCTTCCCCCTCATCTCGAACTACATCAACACCATCGGGAAGGCACCACCATTAACTGCGGTTAGTTACGGGCGAAAGCCACCATTCCATGCCCTTTCACGGCCTGGCCCACTGACATGCTTACCCACCATTACACATTTGGTTGTGGCGCTCCCC